ATCTCAGTATCTGCTTTGATACCCTGCTGGGTAGAGTCTTTCAGAGGTCTTCTGTGGTAGGCTTCTGTCTTGTTCCCTGTTTTCTCCCTCTTCCAATGTCTGTTCCATTTGCCTTTCTAAATCAGTACTGATCATCTTACCCAGGGTCCTCCTTCTTGCTTAGCTTCCTTAGTTGTACAGATTTTAGTATGATTATCCTATATTATATGTCTAATATCCACTTATAAGTGAGTATATACCATGTGTGTCTTTCTGCTTCTGGAATACCTCACTCAAGCTGATCTTTTCTAGTTCCCACTATTTGCCTGCAAATTTCATGATTTCCTTATTTTTTATTGCTGAGTAGTATTCCATTGTGTAAGTGTGTAAGTGTACTACAATTTCTGTATCCATTCCTCAGTTGAGGAACACCTGGCTTTTTTTTTTTTTCCAGATTCTGACTATTATGAATAAAGCTGTTACGAACATGGTTGAGCAAATGTCCTTGTTGTGTACTTGAACATATCTAGAACCCCTGCACAGATGTAGCCCATGGCAGCTCAGTCTCCAAGTGGGTTCCCTAGTAATGGGAACCGGGACTGTCTTTGACATGAACTCAGTGCCTGGCTCTTTGACCACCTCCCCCTGAAGGTGGGGGCCAGCCTTACCAGGCCACAGAGAAAGACAATGTGGCCAGTCCTGATAAGACCTGATAGGCTAGGGTCAGAGGGAAGGGGAGGAGGATCTCCCTTATCAGTGGACTTGGAAAGGGGCATAGAAGGAGATGAGGGAGGGTGGGATTGGGAGGGAATGAGGGAGGGGCCTACAGCTGGAATACAAAGTGAATAGATTATAATAAATTAAAAAATAAATAAATAAAAAGAAAAAAAAAGAATTATGCACATTTAGTAAACTGGTAGTTGTAGGTTCTCATCAAAGAGTATGACTATACTGGCCTAGAGTACTTGGCTAGTTTCTGGTTCTAGGCATGGTTCTCATCTTGATGAGTCAGTGTTAAGTCCAATTAAAGAGCTGTTGGTTACCACTAGGTATGTGTGCCACTACTACACCCTTATGGTTATCATACCATGCTGGCCATTGTTGTTGTTCATAGGAGTAATAGCTGGGTAGGACTGTTGCTTCCTTCTTTTCTTTGGAAACTTGCACGGCACCTTCTGGTACCATGAAACTTTTCATCCAGTTCAGGTCCTTTTGTCCTGTGTCTAAAGTGTGTGGCATACCTTAGACCTCTCAGGAGCAATGATGTGATGTTTTGGCAACTGTGACCAACAACTCAAAAGAAGGCTTTCATGTCTGGTGTTGGAATGTTACTAGAGAGTCTATGGCTCGTGGGTGGAAGAGTGTTAGCACTGATGGCTTTCATTTTTCCTGGTTTCCATAGTTTCTACAGATTATATACATACATCTTAAAAATTGGAGTTAGGAAGATTAGATGAGACTTGTGATGTTTGTTTTTCTGGATCTGGTTTATCTTACTCAATATGATCTTTTGTAGGTCCATTAACTTACCTACTATTTCATATATGAAATACATACATGAAATACATACATATATAGCATATATGTATGACATTTTCATTATCTAGAAGTCAACTGAAGGTGTTCTTGATTTTTGTAGATGGGGGGGGGACTAAGATTCACTTTTATTAAACACCTTTACAAAATGACATAGTTGATAAATTATAGATATAGGCTTAAATCCAGAGATACCTTGTTTCTAAAATCTTTACTCATTTTTGTTTGTTGGGCAAAGACTACATCAAAGTATGTTTTTCAATGTGTGCCTGGTGTTTTTATCTTCCAAGCTACACCATAGGCTTTCCTGTGCTCCATTCCACACCACATAACTCTTGCTATGTCTTTAAGACCAAGAGTCTTACGTGATGTTATTAAAAGTTCTTCTGACCAGAAGAACTGGTGTTTTGGAGAATTTGATGAAATATTTGAGACAGAATATAGTCTTGTTAGATACTAGTTTACTTAATTCAGAAATAAGTTTTGTTTAGTCTCTTAGATATGTTTTCAAGGTTAAGTAGATAGTATATAGATAGAAACAAGCAATGTTGCTCGATAGATAGATAGATAGATAGATAGATAGAGAAATAGATAGAGAGATAGATAGATAGCCTTCAAACACTTCAGAGAGCTACAAAAATATGGCATTTAAAGATATTTTAATAATGAAAGCTTTTTCTGACAGAGAGACACATCTGCTCCTGACAGCACCTCTAATCTACTGCAAAAAAGATGATGGGTATCTAGAGGCAAGATGGCCACTACAGAAAAAAAAAAACAAAAACAAAAAAAAAACAACTGTCCTTCATCTGCTGATAGCAAGCTGTCTGAGCAAATTGTGAACAAGCAGGACACTGGAAAATTGATTGTCCAACTTTGCAGAAACTAAGTGGTCAGTATTTCAAACTTCCTGCTTCACAGAAAAGCCTGTCAGATATTCTGGGCCAATAGGCTGAAGATTGGATGCTCCAACGACACAGAGAAAGCTCTGGTGACTATCCAGGCACTCAACTGTCTGTCATTTCTAAGTTTTGGAAGCTGTTTACACTATATACTTGCTTCCTATATACTTAGGTAATATTATTTCCTTCTAAGGTCTCTGATGAGGTTGAAGACTAGGTAGTCATAGTTTTACTTCAAGTAAGCTTAAGACAGTGGCTTATGTATAAAAAGATGTTTTAAGGTCTAGATAGATGCTTTTAGGTTGATAGAAAATATGATAAGAAAGTGATTTAGGTACAGAATTTAGGACTCATCAGGATAGGATAGATGGTAGAATACTTTTTTCTAAGATTGCAAATGTAATTCTTACTTGATAATTTTCATAACTCTTATTGTATGTAGTTTATTAATGTTAGAGAAAATGCCAGTTTTTTTTAAACAGAAAGGGGGAAATGTTGTGGACATTTTGGTTCATGATATGTTTTTCTTATAATCCCAAGTGGGGTATTTGAGGTAGTCCACACCTGATAACTGTCTTGTGTGTAGTGTGATCTTTGCCATCTGGAATTAGTTGAATTCTGAGGACTTTGAGGGGTATAAATATGATAGCCCAGAGGAAGAAGCATTGGCAGCTTGGAGAAGGTGGAGGAGGACTGCTTGCTCTGCTGGTTTGCTGCCTTGATAGTTATCTGGATTTCTGGATTTCCTGAAGACAGATACTGGTATTGCTCTCCAAATAATCCTCTGACCCTACCCAGCAGGAAGAAGTAAAGAGTGCTATGTCTCTTTTCCCTTACAACCTTCCTTTTCCACCTACTTGGGGTTGGAGGGTTGAGAGGGAGGTATAAGCTTCAAGGAACCCCCAAATAAAGTAGTGTTTGAAAAACTAGCACCCACAACAGTAGGAGATAGACAAATGGATGGATGGTTAAATGGGTGGATGATAGATGGATAGACTGATAAATGAGAGATAAATGTATAGCTAGATAGATGATAGCTAGATGGATGGATAGATAAATGGATGGATGGATATTTAGATGGATAGATAGATGGACAAATGGATGGAGCTGATCAATAGATGAATGGATAAATGGAAGGACTGATAAAGATAGATAGAGAGAGAGATAAAATGAGAATTTGTACATGATTACAGTTTTTTAGAAGTCATTAATATTGTCACTAAATAATTCTGGATACCTATCTTACAAGCACTTAGTCAGATCTCATTGGATCCCTTTATTTGGATGGAGTCTTCAGATGACATGGCTAGTAAGTTCTGATCATAAGTGGTTTGAATTATTTCTGGACAAGATTACTTATTTGATAGTACAAATTCTTCTAGAGCTATTCTCTTCTTGGGACAGAGTGATGACTAATGGTTACCATGGTGATGGTACCATAATCTTGGCTTTCTTGACTTTTCTGTGATGGTCACAGAGTGTAGATTTGAAGTAAAGTGCAGGGTTAAGGTTTTGTGACTTTTCTGCCTGTTTCATTCCACAGCACAATTTATATTTTCCTGAATGACACACATTGTGTTTTACAGAATATGAGAGAAATTTTGTTGACAATTTTATACTTGAGGAGAAAGGAAGAATTAATGTAGGTGAGAGAATTGGGCACTGAGAATTCAAAGCGTCTTCTTGATTGTTGGATGTTTCTAGGTAGAATAAATATTTTTTATAGTTTATTTTTCTAGCTGTGATTTTGTAAACCAAAATTGAAGGAGCCTCACAAAGCTCTACTTCAATGTTTGTTGATTCTATATTTGGGTGAGTTTCACTTTGCTGAAAATGCTGTGATCATTTCTTCAGCTTTTGAAGCAACACCTGTCAAATGGCAAGTCCCATTCCTTAACTACTTCCTGTAAGAAGTCCTTTTCAACTCTATAACAAATCTACACATATTCCTCACCTGAAAACTAATAGTAATCTCTAACTCCTTGATTATGTGCATTGGCAAAAGTATTGAAGTGGTATTCACACAAAATAATTATTGTAGCACTGCGGCATTAGACTGTTGATAAGTACTGGACACCAGTAGGCTATGACTTGGTAATAAACATGTGTTTTGTAAAAACCATTGTTAGAAACCAAACATTTTGTTTTTAGGCCAATGATCTTATTGGAAGCCAATGCCATCTATGAGGAAAATATATAAGAAATGTGTAGAAAGGAAGAATAACTTACTGATGTCCTAGAACATCTATAAAGTATGATAATACCCTGTTTTTATTTTTTTCAAAATTTTATTTATGAGTTGTATGTGTGTGTCTGTGTATGAGCATGGACATATATGTGATGATGCCTAGAGGGGACAGAGGAGGGTGTTGATTTCTTGAAGACAGAGTTATATACCATTGTGGGACACCTGACATGGGTACTGGGAACCGAACTCATATCCTTTGCAACAGCATGCTTTTAATAACCAAGCCATCATCGCTCTTGTCCCTCATTTTGGCCTTTCTATAAGTGAACTTTGTCCATTAACTTCCTCAGACCTTTCTTCATATCTTTGTTCCTCAGGCTATAG